AACAAAAATTGTTCTACAGGAGAATGAATAATGATGTGACTCATATTGTGTGATCAAGTAGTATTAATTGTCTATGATAATGGAGAAGGAATGAGCGTGGAAGAGAGAGTGGCCTTCGATGCCTGAGATCGAGATCGATCGCCGGCGAAGGTGAGCCCGCGGGAAAGTGCTTTGCAGAAAATAAGAACGTTTTTTTTTCAAATGTGTTTTTGTCTCCCCTCTTTTGTGTTTTAAATAGATAAAGGCGGGCCAAAGCAGCTCTCTAATTTACTTTTCAGCCACCACTTTTTTATTTATGGTAATTAAATAATATAATTTCCAGCACGTTTTTTAATTTTATTATTATTATTATTATTATTATTATTATTATTTTGAGGTAATGGGAGCAGTAAAAATTATGTATATGATTGATGATATGTAATTGAGCCAAATGTTACTCCATTTTTTATTTATCAAATTTATATATCATATTGAAGATTATTTCTTTTATGCGTAGGGTATGAACGAAAATATTATTTATTTACAAAATTATTACTCATCAATTTGAAATGAATTCCAAAATTTCTTTTACACATTTCTCAACATTTTGGTAATACTATAAATAAATAACTAGATGCCACATAGAAAATTATCCATAAATTTTATCATCGAGTAATAATGAGCAAAAAACTAAGAAAGTATGATAGAAATTATTTAGCTGCAATTAAAATTCTATAATGTTAGGACAATAATGTGCTGCAAAAATAAAATGTTTTTTAAACATTATATCATAATATAACTCATTTAGATAATAAATTCATTTTTATTTTATTTTAACTTCAAAATTAGACTTCCAATCTGCCTCAGAAGCAATATGATTAAATAATTTTATTTTATTTTACTCAACAAGCAATTATTTCGAAGCAAGTGTGAACTTGCATCGATTTTATGGCAACATTCTAAGCAAGGAGGCATGGATGCCATTAATAAGGTAATTTTCTCGTTAAAAATGCATATTAAATTATATTATAAAAATCCAACAAAATTGTCCTTAATTAAAAGCTTGTCTCGATCATACTTACTATATAATTAACTGTAGAAGCTTACTTGATAAGAAAATTTAACACCCAAAGTTAAAATAAACTCTATATTGGTCATCATGCCATCCAGATTAGTGTAATGATGAAATTTTGTTAGAAACTGAAAAAGTTAAAGCTTGTCGTGGAGCACTCCTAAGATGAGTGACCTCCTGGGAAGTTACACCAACTAGGCAAAACTTTGATGTCGTTAGGCCAAAGCAAACAATGCTATGATGGTTAAGAGTTCAAGTTTGAGTTGCGACATGCGCCACTTGTATCTACTTTGCCACAATCTTCATCAAGTAAAGCCATAATTATCACCGTTGCTTATTGCCACCGTTGACTTACACATCGCAACCATCATCATAAGTATTTCTGTTGATTTCCACCCACGTCACCATCACATTGTTAGACATGGCCATTGTGATTTATAATAAATTCAATTTATTTCAAATCAAATTTTAAATAATAATTTGTTTCATTTATTTTATACTCAAGTAGAAATCTCGCAAACATAATATAATAACCTTGAGTTATTTTGTTTGAAATATGTAAACGTATGTTATTCAATATACATGGTTTTAAAATTATGGACATTTTTTTGATGAATAAGAAAGAAGAGTAAAATTTTGATGCATTTAAAAAATCTCTCATTACTTTGGTGTATTTTGAAATTAATTGATTTCACCAATTTTTTAAGTACATGTTATGTCTTCCCCACACGTTCTCGTAAGTTTACAATTGTTTCCACTTGTCATAGCCTATAACCACTTCAGACTACTATTTGTCAATGCAGTTGGCCGTTGCTTGAGCAACGACATAGTTGGCCAACGTTCAATCATCATAGCCGCCTGTCATTGCCATTTGCACCATCGTCAATAGCTATTAACAATAAGTCATTGATGCTTGCTGGGCTGCCATAGACATCAAACTACAACCAACTACAATATTTTATGCTTCAAAGGGCAACACAACAAGTTAATGTTATCAAGGCACTCAACAAACTTTTTAATTTGGGCTTGTAGTGTCCCAATGGTGTTTAATTTTTAACGATGTTCTCTTTTCTAATCCACATTTAATTTGATTTAGCCTAGGTCACCACTAAGCTCTTAAGATTTTGGTAGATGTCTTAGTTATTATTTTTTTTTTGAAAGAGATTGAATTTTAAGTGATGATGATTCATTTTTGAAAGACATTTAAACATCAAATAGGGGTGTTAAATTGTCGAGTTATCAACACCTAAAATCATACCACTAAGTCTAGGATCATTTATTCGACTAGACTTCCAAATTTTAATAATTTAAGGAAATTACACATTTATCTTTTAATTAATAAAAGTGAGATTGGTTTCTACTAATTAATCACTCTTTTGGTTTCAATAATCCAAATGAGTTAGTTAAAATAATAGGTTACCCTTTTCCCCTTTTGAATTAAGCCTAAATGTTAATTAAGGCTAAACTTCCAAAATTACACTTTTGTCCTTAAAGCTCTATCACTTCATAATTTGTCAAATTTAACTCAAATGACTTTGAAATTTTTATCTTACCTTACTCATGGCTCAATTAAGACATCAGAGGAGAAAATATATATACATATATATATATATATATATATATATACATATATATATATATATAAACTGAGCCGGCATTATTTATTTTAAATATTAATACTAGAAATTTGCTAAATCACATGGTTACTGATGTTATATAAGTATTAATATCATATAGCATTGACAACCTTATATGATATTAATCAAAACACTATTTTTTATGAAGAAAATAAATGATGTAATATTTGAAAACTAGAATTTTTAGCACTAAAATATTTTAGAAATAATAATCATATTAACTGAAAATATTACAATTAAAAGTTTATAAAACTAAGGGCAAGATGAAGTCTACTGATGGCCTGATAACTTGATGATTAGAATAAAAAATGTAACATCATCAAAGAAATCATAGACATCCAACTAAAAATAATATTAATTAATATCAAAATATCAATACATCCAAAACCCTAAACATTTCTAAGAAAATGACACACTCCATTGCAACTTTGTCCTCACACCACCAACCAAACGTGTTTGTCAATCCCGTTGCGATTGTTGATCCTCAATTATGACTTCCATGTTGATTTTGTCATTGGTTTTTTTTTCCGCGAAGTCTCATTGCTGAGGGTCGAGTCCAATACCCAATATATTATTTATACTTATATAGATATGGTGAATAGAAACCTATTTGCCATCATTCGTATCATCGTAAAATCCTTTATTCAAACCTTCTGAAACTTTTTGTAGAGAATAATATCTCACTCTCACAAACATCTGATATAATAGTTTTTATTCTTGAAATAATACAGATATAAGGCCAAAAATAGCCGTTTTAAAAGGATGAAAAATCACAGGAGATTTGTGAGCAAAATCTTATGTGATTCTCACTCAGTTATATTAAAAAAAAAAAACAAAAAAAAAATCAAAAAAGAATATAGCAAAATTTATAATATTCAAAATGTACAAAAAAATTAGATACTCTTCTATATGGAACTTAATCACATTAATTTTTTTTATTCTTATGCCTAAAATTTTGAATATCTAATAGCACAAGTAAGAGTGCAATGACTAATACTGTGGCTTTCAATAGTTAAATCACATGTATATCCAATCAGATTATGTTATGGACATAAATCTATGTGGAAGGGATTTTTTTTTGAACAACAAGATCATTTCAATGGTTTGTGAAGTATCTAAACATTTGACCCATTTGATTGAGAAGAAATGAGCGTCATGAACTCTTTATGGGTATGATTGAAATCATCAATATAAGTTGAAGCTTCCACCTATGAACAAAAAATAAAAAAATAAGATTGTATCCAATTCAACAAGTTAAAAGTTTATCAAACTCTTTAAAAACTTAACACTAAGAGAACAATTGTTAATGTAAATCTTATTAGCATTACTGCCCTCCTAAGCTTTGTAAATATTTATGTTTATTTTATAACATTAAGTGCTACATTGAAAGCCTACAAAACTTTAAAGTTTCTTAAATTACAATTTAGGGATTGATAATTTTGAATTTACTTTTACTTTTAGCTTGAATTACAATGCCCAATTACATTTAAATTAGTGGGAAAAAGTTTGGATTAATTCTTAAAGTATAAATCTTAAATCTAATCTAATTCATATGTAAGATTGTTTTTCTTACTATTTATAAACAACAGATAAATTAGTCATCTTTATCACATCAAATTTAATAAAATCTTAATAATAAAGCTAAAATTAATTCGGAAGAATTAAAGCTCTAAAAACATAGTTTTAAGTAATAAAAAAATATTATAAAAGTAGAGTAAGAAGTGATAAAGAATTACCTCCTATTTCGAGTCGAGCTGCCTTCCTCTCTTTTTCAATCTTCATTTTATGTTCATAATTTGCTTTATCAATATCCAGTTTAGCAATTTTACTTCGAACTGTTATTTTTCTTTTTTCTGGCACTTTTGTAAGTCAATCATGTAAAATAAATAGAAGAAATTTAAAATAAGTCACATATTTTAAGAAATGTCATGTTATTTAAATAAAAAAATATGTTACTTGTACCGGGAGTAGAAAGTCAAGGTCAATTAATTAAGAAGAAAATTAAATCAATTACTTAAATAGTTGCTTTACTCATGTTTTAGCATGTTGTAATTGGTGTGCTACAATTTAACTTTAGAACTGTAATGACACTTTTCCATAGTTTCATCCAAAACAATGAAATTTTGCTCAACAAAATAAATAAATTAATAATAATTAATATGCAAAATATTGACTAAATTCAACAAATTAGTTAGCTCTTAAACACATATTATGCTCATCTAAGAGACATTACAATAAAATTGCAACTTATTTGCTTACGAATGCTCATAAAAAATGTTAAAATATATAAAATTCTTACTTCGTTTGTTTTCTGCGGATTCCTCTTTTTCATAATGCATTTCAGCCCGATTTGCTTCTTCCTGAAAAATAAGTGCATAATATCAATCATGAGTTCTAATCAAAAAAATATAGAAAACAAAATAAGATGAATTAATGAGTTAAGTAAAACTTGCTTTGTTAAAAGAGAATTAATAGTATAAAAATTAAATTAGAATTACATTTTTACTTACACAACCTACTTGTGATGTAAGTACCTAAAACATGAGGTCCTAGATTTAACCAAATAAAAAAAAGCTCGTCATCCTTTCTAATTAATAAAACAATAGACTACAACACTGAATAATTTAAATGAAAAATATATCTACTAGCAATCAATATAAAATAAAATAAAAATACAGTGCCCGTCATCATGATTAATAAAACAAAATGTTGCTGCTAAAAATTAAATAAAATCAATCAAAGAAAGAAATTTCAATTTGAATTAATGTAATGAATGCAAAAGCTTCTTGTCAAGTATTATTGAAAAATACCTTCTCTAGTAGAGCAATGGTTGAATCATTTTTAACTGTAATCTTTGTTTTGAGTTTTGAATTTGTCTTTTCAATAATTTCATTTTTATAACCATTCACTTGACTTTAAAATCTTCATTTTTTACACAAAGTAAAATGTTTGTTACAACAAAACTGCTCAAGAACATAAACATGTAACAGAAATATAGTGTGAAGTTAATGAGTTATTTTACTGATTTCTTGCTTTCCAATAAATTCAATTTTTTTTTGTTCCAGCTTAGTTTCATCTTTCCTTTCTCCCAAGCAACAAACACAGAATTTCAATTATATGCTCAAGTATACTGATTTTGTAACTTTTTTTCGGAAAAAAATAATTTATTAAATTAGATTTATCTTTATAAAGAAACTACTTGTTAAAGATCAAAATACTAACCTTTATGTTAAGTGTTTTTTGTGCCTTGAAAATTATATCAGCAAATCGGTTCTTCAACATAGCAACACGAAGAGCTTTTCCAGGAGATAATTGAGGCTCCTCAAGTCCTATAACATAAAAAAAACTTAAATTTTATATTTACTTCGAGTTACAATAAATTTCACAAAACTATATATCAAATCCGTCATGGACTAACAATGACTATAATATCATAAACTATACCATCCAATAGACCAGTCCCTTTAAAATATGATATTTTAAAAAATAATTTCAAAATTTCTCATTAATATTTGAAATCTTTCTCAAAAAAATGATGTGAATATTTGAAAACGAACTATAATATTTAGTATTAAAATATTTTGGAAAAATTTGTAATATTTTTTCTTCGTGACAAATAAAATAATCATATTAACTAAAGAATATTACAAATAAATTGTTAAAAAACTTACCTGATAATGAAGCTTGATTGAATGTCTTCTTACGACAGAATTGATTAGAATTGCAAGATGACGCTATCAAAGAAGCCATAAGTTTTCTGCTGTAAAAAAAACAACAATAAATTAGAGTGAGAATAAAATAGAATGGTAGTATATTTTATTTATTTTATTTTCTGTTTTTCATAATTTTTTGAGAAAATGTTTAGAAAATAATAAAAATAAAGCTATACATGGAATTGAATATCTGCATTAAATTCCGGAAAATAATAAAAAAAAACTGTAACCCTAAACTATTATATTATTCTGACATGTTTAAATAAAAAATGACACCCCTAGCCAGTTAAAACATATAAAATAAATTAAAACCTAAAACGGGAAACAAATTATTTACTTTCGGATTTGATGAGTGATATATATATCAACTGTAGGGAGAGAATGCAAAAGGCCGGTAGGAAAAGAAGATTTACATGAAATGAATAAATTATATTAAGATATATTATGGGATTCAAAATGTGAGATTATAATGAAGAATAAGAGCAGAGGAGATTCTCGCCGTCGAGCCAGCATAAATAAGACCGTTTTTTTCTAATTGATTTTTTTTCCATTCTTTGAGATGAAATAGTAAAAGTGGGGAAAGCCACCACTTTTCTATTTATGGTAAGTAGGTAATATAAACTCGTGCAACATTTTTTGAGGTAATCTGAGCAGTAGAAATTATCTAAATGATTGATTAATTTTATTTAATTTAGTCAAATATTAGTGAATTCAGATTAATTAGTAATAAAATAATCAGAAATTAATAAACTTGAGGCATTCCAAATAACAAATAGGAAATGGTCCGTATTTAGGTCATTTATCCTTTTTTTTATTGTTGTTTCCAATTAAAATTTTGTGAGAAAAGCTCTTCGAATTCAATTTCAGGGATTAAATTCAAGCAAATAAAAAAAAAGTTAAACCGAAAATGTATCATAATCTTGTCACGTATTTAAATAAAAAATGTGGCTCTATTATTTACGCTTGGATTAGATTAGTGATAAATAGAGAGAGAGAGAGAATTTTTATTCTATTATTTTAAAATAAACTAATTGACAAAGACTAATTCCAACAAAAGTTATGTCCAAATATTGAGATGCAACTATTTTTAGAATAAAATGGAGAAATTGTTTGCTAAGAAGTTGGATTTTCTTATGTAAAAAATATAAAAATTAAAATAAGAAAAGAGAATAAAAATGCAAAAAAAAAAACAATTAAAAATTGTTAAGATAAAAAAAAAGAAAAAACCAAAAGAGATCTGAAAAAAAAAAATCAGGGTTCGAATCAAAGCCAGTGCTTAAACTTTGTTGAATGCAGAAAATGAAAATTTTGTTTGCAAAAAACAAAGAATTGAAGGAGGGAGAGAGAGACGGCGAAAGCAAGCAGAAGAAAAATTCTTCTACAGGAGAATGAATAAATGCTGTAACTCAAAATGTGAGATCAAGTTGCATTAATTGTTTGTATGATAATGGCGAATATTAGAGCGTAGAAGAGAGACTGGCCATCGATGCCTGAGATCGAGATCGATCACCGGCGAAGGTGAGCCCGTGGGAAAGTTCTCTGCACAAAATAAGACTTTTTTTTTTTTTTTTTAATGGGGTTTTTTCTCCCCTCAAATGTGTTTTTCTCTCCTTCTTTTGTGTTTAAATAGATAAAGTTGGGTCAAAGCAGCTCTCTAATTTATTTTTAAGCCACCACTTTTTATTTATGGTAACTAAATAATATATTTTCCAGCACGTTTATTATTATTATTATTATTATTATTATTATTATTATTATTTGAGGTAATCAGAGCCGTAAAAATTATGTATATGATTGATGACATTTAATTGGGCCAAATGTTAGTCCATTTTTTATTTATCAAATTTATATATCATACAGAAGATCAATTCTTTTATGCGTAGGGTATGCACTAAAATATTATTTATTTACAAAATTATTACCCATCAACTTGAAATGCTTTCTAAGATTAAATTGTTGTTTTACTCATGCTTTAGGATGTTGTAAGAAGTTCGCTATAGTCTCATTCGAACTAGTGAGACTTCTTCCATAGGCTCATTTGAACTAATGAATAAATTAGTTAATATTGCTGAACAAAATAAATAAATTGATAATTATTAATAAGAAAAATATTGACTAATATTAACAAAATTATTTATGCTCTTAAACATACATTATGCTCATCTAAGACATATATTACAATATTTCATTAGAATTGCAACTTATTTGCTTACGAATGCTCAGAAAAAGTATTAAAATATATAAAATTCTTACTTATTTGTTCGTTTTATGTGGACTTGTTGACTTCATTTTTTGTTGAGATTTAGTTTTTTCTCTTTAGTAGCCTAGGGTCTAGCTATACGACTTTCCTGTTGACTATTCCTAGAAAACTAGAAAAGGAACCCTCACTATTAGAAATTCCAAACTCCTCTTTGCTCAACTTGAAGTTCCACATATTGGTCATAACCTCTAACACTTAGTAGGTGGGGTCATCATGGGGGAGCCCAAGTTGATTTCTCATAGGACTACTGGACCTTAGGGTTAACCCTGGGTGTTTGTCTAGGGCTAAGGCACTCACTCTCATTCACAATCACTTACAATCCTAAACCCAAACTTCTTGACTTTGGTCCCTTGATTCTTTGGGATACTCATGTAGATGGTCTCATAAACCCACTGGCCTTAGGCTAAGGTTTAGCTAAGACCAATACATATAGAACCCGTGATGGGGTTTCCATTGGTCCATAGCTTATTGATGGTAACCCGAGATGGGGTTTCCATTGGTCCATAGCTTATTGATGGTGGTTGGCACTCCAACTATTCCAAAATGCCCAACCTAGTTTTTTACCCATAAACTCCCCCAAATTATCTAGATACCCTTGGGACCCTAAATTCGGCCAAAATTCCCAAATTTACCTAAAATACCCAAATTTGTTCAAAAATCATTTAAAATCTCTTGAAAACACCCAAACTACCCAAAATCACAAAAAATTACCAAATTACCCAAATACCCCTCCTAAGCCCAAAATTCTAAAAATTTCAAAAAATCCCAAAAATTCCCAAAACCTTCCAAATATTCTCAATTTCATTTTTCCCAACAGACCCAATTTGACCATATTTGATTAAAACCTCCAAATTGCCTTTAAAGACCCAATTTTCCCCAAATTTACCTCAAATGTCCATCAATTTGGTCCCAATTTTCCCCAGTTTCAATTCTAAACTAAAATTTACCTTCTATATGACTAATTTAAGCCAAATCCAAGTTCAATTGGCCTATAATTTGAGCCTAATTTTTGATCTAAACTAAACCCTCAATTTTGGCTCTATGACTTGGTTCCACCAAATTGAACCTATGGCCTACTCAACTTGCCACAATTATGTTGTAAACTCTTCATAACATTCCCATATATCAAACTTGACCTTAAATTGGTCATGGAGAGACCTCAATTTCATTTAATTTCAATCCAAGTCCAAAAAACACCAAATTTTCCCCAAATTGGCCCTATTCCCAAAATTTCACCAAATTGATGGCCTTAGCCCAAAAATTTCCACTCTATTCCTTCATAAAAAATTTTCACAACATCTCCCTTGATCATTTGGCCCTTTCAATTTGGACATAGCCGAAGGCTAGCCCAACCTAGACCCAAGTCTAGCCTAACATGCCCAAATTGACCAAATTTCATGAATCCTTCAAATGAACCCTCATTTGAACTCAAAAATCATTTCAATTCTTCAAAAAAAAATCTTCATTACAATCATCTACATAATGTTGATCAATCAATTAGGCCAATTGAAATGGCTAGCCTAGCCCAAACCCAAGCTTTGGTCATTTGAACCCACATTGGACCCATGCACTAAAGATAGCCTAACTACTCCAAAGTCACCAAAATAATGACTCCACAGCCATTAGTTGGACCCTAGTGGCCAA